GTCAACACTATCCAGCATTTATGATAAAGTTGATTAGTCTAAGTCATATGTCATTACGAAGTTATACGTGGTTTAAGTTGACAATTTTTCACGATGGCGTAATATTCGTTTTTTGGGGCTTTTCGTAAAAATTGAATATCTCAGCAGCACAACAACTTTAAGACCTCCGGTTATCATCAAAATTCATGAAAATGTTTGCTCCAGAGAAATCTCCTACTTTGAAAGAAATCTGAGATGGCCGATTGAGCAGCATTATACCGTAATAGGCCGTGGCTCATCTTTAATGACTCTTACTGAGCTTTTTGCCAAATTATTGTATTGTTTGCGTGATACTTTTGCTGTGCATTGATGTCTTTTTCCCTCTCCCGCTTCGAGTGTTGCCAATCTACTATGTGTGTTGTTTTATTGTGAAGCTGTAATATGCAAGACTTTTCTTTTCATCTATATGAAATGATGCTAGCATTTTCATACGCCGAAGGAGTTTTGTTCAGATTTCAAAGTTACCATGGTCCCCATTTCAACCGTGAATGGCACTCAGTTACAATGTCTAGATATAATAGCTTCGAAATCTGAACGAAACTTTTTTCGTCGTCGTATGAAAATGTTAACATCATTTCATCTAGGTGAAAAGAAAAGTCTTGCATATTACAGCTTCACAATAAAACAACACACATAGTAGATTGGCAACACTCAAAGCGGGAGAGGGAAAAAACACATTAATGAATGAGGAAAAAATTCAAGGTCGTGCTTTCATATTCTGCGTAATGCAATGAAAGAAATACTGTCAACAAAGAGAGTTCGATGTTTCTCATAAATAGTTTTACATCGTTTATCTCTGATCACATTTAGACGATAAAGAAAACCACATCCTTTCGTGTTTCTTCCATCTACTTATTCAACCACTCTCTGTTCCACCGACCGACTCCGACAGTCACCATAGTGCCATGGATCTTGCTTACACTGTAGCGGAGACGACTCACCAAAACAATGGTCATATAGACGAGGTGACCTACGAGTACGACGAGGCATATCAAGACACGGTTACGCACGATTTGTATGTAAAGAAGGACGATGGCTCGCGAGTATTCACAGCAAAAGTATCACGTGAACAATACAATAATTTGGCAAAAACGTTCAATAAATCATTGTCGTTCGACAGTTTTCTTCATTTTTGAAACCGTTGATGATGGGCTCGTATGCAAGTGATGAAATTCAAAGAGCATTTGAACTGTTGGACACCGATAAATCAGGAACCATTGACGTCGACGAATTAGCTGCATTTCTGCCGATTATCAGTCCGAATGTCACCCGTGACATGTTACTACACTATATTAGTCACGTCGATGAAAACTTTGATCACAAATTAAACCTCAGTGAGTTCAAGGAACTTCTTTCACGTGGAATTGGACGTGATATTGTTTGTGGACACTTACACTAACATTTTCGCATAATCGCACAATCACATGAATATGTCGTACATTTAAATGGAATTCGAATAAAACAATATGCGAGTTCGATTCTAGCTAAATATAAGTGTCACAAAAAAGATATCTGTTTTGTGTTGTGTAAATCTCTTCTACAATATTGTTCATTTAAACAGACGTTGAAGAGTTTTCCATTTCCCGATAGATAGAACAAGCTTTCACATCTGAGACAATCCCCTCTAAACAGCAAACCCAATTTGTGAAAAATTCAAATCAAGGCTTCATATACCCAGTCAATTTTTTTTGATTTATTAATGTGTTTTTTCCCTCTCCCGCTTCGAGTGTTGCTTCGAATTTATTTCTATGTGAAATGATATTTTATTATTTACCCCTGCGGGGGGGGGGAGGTACTGGAAAGTCATATTGCCGTACTTCCCGATTCCCCTTTTGTCCGGGCTCATACATTTTCGTGTCCAAGCATGTTTCGTTTCTTATTGGTGAAGAACATTGGAGATGCGCCCAGAGTGAATAGCTTCAATATATCTATTTGTTATAAAAGAACGGACAATGATAGCAACTTTTCTTGCTGCGCAACACCCAATTTGAATCGCTATCGCGGACGCACATCACATATTGGAGAATTTCTCGCGCTCCGCGAAAAATTCGCGGTTGTGTCCAGAAACAGTTCGCTACAGAATCGCGATTGATGGTAACTATATTTGATTGTTTCGCCGCACGATCGCGATTTAAATCGACTGTTTCGCGACAGAATCGTGTTCAAATTGCTTATATCGCGGCAAGATCTTGGCCTCACAGCAAACCATTTCAGGATGATGTATCTGTAATTGTGAGCACGATTAGAAAAGGTTCTCGAAATCTACTGATTTCGCCATTTTTTATTTCTAAAACAGCTTCAGTCTTAGACTTCTCTAAGTTCTCTCATGTATTTCTCAATTACAGTTCGACATATAACCGGTATTTGATCTCAAAATAAAAGAGAGAGTGGTTGCCGTTTTACGGTTCGCTGGTGAATATTATCGATAAGGTAACGTTTGCCGTATATGAAAAAAACATTCATGCTTGAACTTTCAGAGAATGTATGTATATCCGTAGATATTATCGATCAGATCAGTTCCTTATTAGAGCCAATCGAAAATTCTGTGAATGGGGCGGAATGGCTGAGCCCCAATCCTCTGTGCATCAAACAGAACCAAACTGATTGTCGCTACATCCTGAGAGCCACTAACAAAAAAGCGATCTTACACCGAGGATATTCACAATTGTTATAAAAACAGCAACCTTTGATGCATTTCTCTCACTTCTGTGCACTTTTATTTTGAGATATTTGCACAGTAAATATCGATTGAAAGAAAGAACATAGAAAAAGCCCTAAGATATAGTGCATTTTTTGAGAAAGAAGGCTTTTTTAATCTACACAAAATGCCTGAAGAAACAAAATTTACATTTAGGAATTTATATTCTCTCGCTCACTGAAACTGTTGTGTAAAAAAACGAAAAAACGTGTTTTTTTCCCAAAAACGGCTAATTTTGTAAAAATCACTTTATATTTTGTTATAACAACTATTTGGAAACTTCAAAGTTAGTTATTCTGATTCATCGTGAAAAATTGCATCGATCTACGTAAGTTTTAAAATTTTCCAATGAATAAAAGTGATCCACAAATCCACACGGATCGATATAATAATGCGTTTTACCTCGACCTAGGAAAAATGCCATCAGATTTTTTTCGTAATAGATACAAACTTAATTCTTTCGCCATTTGATTCCCCATGAAATTTGCTACAAACGCACGGATCTTTTTTCGAAGTTTTTTTCCCTTGCTGAGCTATGAGGTTTTTACCGAAAATATCCAGTTTTGGGCCCAATCGGCGTAGCGATTTTTTCGACAATGGCGTTCATGCTTATTATATCCATTGGTTTTCTTGTGAATTACTCCGCTTTATATGTCATTCGGTAGAGAATTTCACGAGCTTCAAAATGAGCTATAAATGGGTCTTTCAAAAATATGTCCACATTGGTCAATAATTGAAATACTTGACCGGTATAATGATTTTCACCTATCTTAGTGCTTTGAACACTCCGTTAGTTGTCTTTCTGCCATAAAGAAAAAGTATGTATTGTTCGAGAACATACCATTGGATAGCCCTTGAAATTCTCTACAAAGTGAGCTGGTCACAATATCCAGACAGATGGGGCCAGTCATTAAAGATATGGACAAGAAGCTTTTGGGTGTTATCTGAGCACTATATAGTGTGTCATAATCACAAGAACTCCCTTTTTAGTAAAAGCTGAAACAAATCTGAATAATGTTTTGAATAGCCCGAAGATTTTTCTATCAGATGAGGTGCATATCGTCCCTTTCATGAGAAAAGTTGGTAATAGAGCTTCTAGAAAACCTGACAGCTGGAAAACCAAGTCCTTAGTTTTTGGTCAGAAAATGTTACAGACCATATAAACCTGATAGAGTGAAGAATTCTGAGCTAAATAAGACATCTCCCGGCATTCTATAGTGCTTTTACACCGGAATATTTTGGTAACTTTCACACCTTTTGTGGCTAGTCGTAAATCGACTGCACTTACGTGAAAAAAGCACTACAGAATGCCGGGAGATGTCTCATTTAGCTCAGAATTCTTCACTTACAACGCAAGTTAATCGAATTTTAAAGGTGATATTCTGAATCAGCGTAAAATTCTGCGTCTAGGGATATGCAACAAGAGTGGATTGCGAATTTCACTGGAACTTCGAATTTGGAGCGCCTTAATAAATTATCAATAGAGCGGAAAAATATACAAATTGTCATAGATCGACAATAGTGACCCATTTTCTGCTATTGTATTCAACAGAAAATAGTTAAAGAATAATTCCAAACGCAAAATTCCCAGATAGGGTCCCTCTATGGCTAAAACTGAGAATTGTACGGTCTATGGACATGACTTCATAGCCAGTTGCAATGAAAATTATTGTTTTGTTTATTTCTATTGTTTATTATGCCCGTTTTTTCTCCAACTTTTTATTACATTTTATGGCAAATGCTATACTGACTATACCTTATAAGTCCTTTTTCATAAAAACAAATTTCACTGCTGTCGACCGCACAACGACGCCGTCATTCTAATAAACAACAACATAGCTTAAAGAAAGTATTTGTGACTATTGCACAATAATTAACCACCGAAAAAGGAGTAGAAAATACAAAGAACGTTGAATACTCGGTTTTCTAATCGAGCTTTTAACGCTGAATAAGAAAACAATAGTTTGAACATTCCGAATAAAAAGCCAAGTCCAAAAATCTAACTTTTTTGAACATCGTCGGTTTTTCGAGTTTTCGACACAAAAAGAAAGTTTCGAAAAATTAAAAACGATATATTCTTGATCTGCTTGAAAAGCTCTATCGAATGGTATAGGATAAGTTAAAAAGAATTCCACTTTCTTTTTAAATTGGCTGCACATAACATTCAAGGCTAAAACTCAATAAAATCCTCCAATTACTTATAAACACAAAGGTCAAAAAGAAATCCTTTACTGCTGGGAAGAGCGAACACAACAGTTTATTTCTATATTTTTCTCTTTATGACAACACCCTTTTTCATGACTGAAACGTCATAATTCTCGTTCTCTTCATAATCATTATCCGAATAAATAAAATCATCATCCGAAGTTGTGGTGGCTGGTTCATCATCTGTCCTATCATCGTCGGTCGTTGTATTGGTGATAATAGACAACCATTTAGCTAAGTTATGTTGTTGTTTCACTGTAAATTGAAAAAGTTCTTGAGCAATTTTGCTTGTATGATACCTTAAACGTATGCCGAATGTGTGTGGATGTGACAGAATGAAAAGAACATTTCGGTATATATGGTTTTTTGTCTCAACATGATTTACATCATAATCTTGCTTACACAAAGTTAACATAAATTGAACAGCTGTATCACGTGCTTGTTGGTGAGCGTGAGAATCATTTTCAACATTTATCAATTGATCACGTGTTTCATTATTTATTTTAATCAACGGTTGTTCGATACAAAGAAAATCCATCACATCGATCAGTTGAAGGACATCATCTTTTTTCGATAATTTTGCAAACAGTAGAAATGAACGATTAGTTACTAAATATTCATGAATTGGACGATAATATCTATATTCAATTTTCTGATCTAAAACATATTCCTGTCTATCATTACGAATGGATTTGAATTTGCCATCGTCGGCATTTGTGAATAATGTTGACAGGTAGGGAATTTTATCAATAACTGATTTTGTTATGTCGACCACTTCGCCAGTTGAAAATCGACATTTATAATAGATGTTGTTTAGTGACATATTCGAAAAACCTATTGCAGACGACGCAACAGTTTATTTTTCGTAAAGTTACAGATAATTAAATTTCCAGTGTTATATGATCGTTAAAATATCTGAAACAATACGAGAAATGTTCGAGAGCCTATTGTCAAAATTTAAACGGGTATGACGCTCAATTATTCTACTTGTTTAAGGATGAATATTGCACACGAGTGTCAAATAGGTTATTTGTGTCTGCAGAACTGACGCCGTTAGATGGACAAAATGTGTTGACAATACCTAAAAGCTGAAATATATCAGAAGTAGTCTTGAAAAAAATGTTTTCTTCTTTCTTACTTTATCATTCGAAAAAACTGATAGCTCTTGACGAGGTCTACAATACTGCTATGAAACATGCTGATTCACTAATCCGTTGACTGGAAAGGAATCGCCAATATCAGTCGCTTGCTCAATGTGCATTCTCTAACTGGCTGAACTTTCTTCTGACCGAAGCAGATTGTTCTTAATGATCACTTGCCATGAGCTGGAGCTTTATACACCTCATAGACACGATGATTCCCCTAGCTCATGTAATTACTAACCGGAAATTCTACTCCGTCCTGAACCGCGCATTTCTGTATTGATTGATGATCTGGGACTTCCTTTACTACTCGCCATCTCTCTCATTTTGAAGACCAATAATAAGGTTAGATTGGCAACACCAAAACTAATTACTTGTTAGATTTCGAAAGAAAAAGCCGTATTTACGATTACGTAATCCGAGCTGCGTTTTACAGCAGTGCTTGTTTCACTGCATTATTAATATAGGTGCCCCAACAAAATTTACCAGTTTCCCTACACTTATCCTCATTTTCCCTTCGTTTCTCAGACGTCTCCACTGGGTATACAACACGCAATGTGCTCACTACTCTCGCGTGTTAAGACTTAGATAAATGTGTCCATCTGTCCGCTAATAATATTTGTGTTCGACTAGAGACCTCTACGGTCCGACCTTTCCTTAGGTTTCTAGATGCTAAGAAAGTCTTTGTACCAAACTAAATGGGCAGTTTTGTTTCAGAATTTGATAATGATTACGATCAAGTAGACTCCCGAGTCGGTGAGACAAAAATTAAAACTGTCAAAACGAAATATTTACTACCAAAATAAAAGTTTGTTACACCTGATCATTTTTCCTTTTTCCAAGGTTACGAAGCTAATTTGCTAACTTCCCGTATGTTCCGTTTCTCTAATGGACTAGAGTCTTTTCACCTTGAAGACCACATACGCTATTCATAATACAGATAATTGCGAAATTTATTATTTTGTTCAAATGTTTAAGAATCATAAATAACTAGGCAACAAAAGATAACTATTAAGAAGGCTAGTATTTAGCTATCCTATTTCCAGTTGATAGGATTCATCAGTTTTTTCGAACGATGAAGTAACAAAGGAGAGAAAGTTTTTTTCAGGACTACTTCTGATCTATTTCAGCGTTTATATATTGTTAACACATTTTGTCCATCAATCGGTGTCTGTTCTTTTTGTGGGCGATCATTCTTTGTTAAAATCTTAGGAGAGTTGGTTCTGCTGCTAATCTATATGTTTCGTCTTTCCGAATTTTTTCTTAAAAATGATCTGAACAATCAGTTTTTCATGAAAAATTAATGATCACGATCAAGATTTAAAAACATTTCTGGTTTACTTTCCGTATTTTTTATGTAACTGACTAACAGAAAATGGAAACAACATGAAATTAATAGGAGTGAGACAACTTTCAATACTACTTCCAACTGACATTGTTTGAAAATAAAATTTAGTTTTGTAAAAACATCTTCAAAGTCAGATCCAGCAGTATTGTAGCAAGCTTTTAAAAGCCATGTAATACTGAAAGACAGAAACAATCAGTTATTTGACAAAATAAAACATTCTTGATAAACGTCTTGATTTTATAGACAACGAAGAAGAAAAGGCAAAACATTTGCTGTTCCATTGGTTAATTAAAAAGAAAATGATAGAAATTTATTGGAAGAAGACAATTCATGAAAACCGAATCACTAGTAGATTTGTTAAGTAGAAAATCAGTCAATATTTCTGAATCAAAAAACGACAAGGCTGCAGGAGTAGAACAAACAAAAGTGTTGAAAATTTTATTTTTGAAAATAGAAATGCAAAATAAAGTTCGAAAGTTTTCGAAAAACTTTTATTGAAAAAATAACGAAAACGAAGCAATCCAGGATCAATTTCGACGTTGCTCTAGTGTCTCTTCAGCTAGGTTATGTTGTAAAATTATGGTAATAATCGATGTACATACTTACGTATCATCCTCGACCAGACTAAAATTAAAAATGGCGATTGGTGTGAGTGATCTGGTTCAAATAAAAAAAAGTAATGTACCTCTTATCAAAGAAGAAGAAAACAAAACACGTGTCTGTATATTAGAAAATTTTTTTCTTTTAAAAACGCACATTTCTATATCTATGTCTCTATGGACGGAGAAAAGAAAGAAAAAAAGTATAAGAAAAACAAAGATATATCTATATGTATACCAAAAATAGCGTACATACACATAGAAAGAAAGAAAAATTCTTGAGTACGTAATAAACGAATACTTCATAAAACCTATTCATTTACTACGTGATCGTGCGAAAAAGGAAGAGAAAAGAGAAATTTAAACGCTGTTCTAATGTGAAAAAGAATCCCGTGCGCATGCGAATAAGAAATACACACACACACTTGGCACAAGAATACTTTAGAGTGCTTCCACAAATTCATCGTAATACTGTCAATAAAATGACATCACATATTCATCAGCTGCATCATGTGCTTGACAATCGTTATCAGAATCAGTACTTTTCGAACCATCGGCACTGTCATATTTGATAAAAGGTTTGAATGAGAATTGCGCGTAGTTGACATTCGTTGTATTTTGACATCTAGAAACGATTTTGAACAATCACTTTTCCTTCTTCATATGTAAACTAGATATCAACATCATGACTATTTAAAATGTCAACCATTTCTTTAACATCTGTATCCTTCTTTAATAAAACAAATGTATCATCAATAAACCTTCGCCAAACGACAACTCCTTTTCTTGACATTTGAGCGCGAGTAGTAAAAGCATAACGATAGAGTCTTTACTAGAAAAAAAGTGTCGATTAATTGTTTCATTTTCTTTTCCCCCAATTGTTTTATTAAATATTTATTTGTTTTTTCAATGATTGGTTTCCATAATTGTTCATCACCCTGATAATATTTTCTTAATAAAATAAAAACAATTGTAGTTGAAAGAATCATTTATTTTTCTTGTTCATTAGTAAATTTTAAAATTGATTTTGATGATGACAATATTTGTTGATAGTTTTCATTTGTTATATTCAATTGTGTATTTGCTTCGATCTTATTAAAATTCCATGGACTATTAAAATCTTGTATTATTAATTAATCGACGAACAGCATCATCTTCTATATTTTGTTTGATAGGCGATCGAGAACGGGAACAACACTTTTTTTTGCGATCGCCTTCTAGAGGACACTGATAACGTGATATGTTCCTCGTCTTCATCATTATCTGATACACTTGAAGAGTTATTGCTATTTACCGTAGTTCAAGCAATGATGTTTCTTCCTCATCCACCATCACGCCCTAAATCCATTCCTCGGATGATTCCGTGTCTATTATCATCTGTATTTCAATCAGTATTTTTCTTAATTCCATTTTACGATTAGTTTCACCGCTCACTCGTCTTTCTATTCCACACAAATGCTGTATATTGACAAAGAATATTATATTTTAATGATATTGATATTAATTTACTTTTATTATCCATTTCAGTTTCTTTTGTTAAATCACCGAATCGTGATTATAATGATTTTCCTTCTAAAATCGAATGAGTATCGTTAACAAATGATTTTGCTGCATGACGAGTAGCTGTTAATGAACTAACGATTGATTGTACATTATTGAAATCAATTCGTTCAATCAAAATATCCTAAAATTTATAATAAGAATCCATTTATGTAAAGAGAAATTTTAAATAGAACTTACACTACTTATAGAAATTCAAACGTTCCTTTTAATTGTGTCACTGGTAGCTGCATCATAAGATATAAATTTAATCGTTGATTTGCATAAATTGGCGGTATTTGTTTTGGTATAATTTCAAATTCACCATCGTCAGTTAAACTACATTTAATTTTCGTACCAATCAGACAAATGCCAAAGCTTTTGACATTTGTTTTTCTACAGCTACATCAGCATGAGTATTAGGGGATATAAATAATGTACATCCATTTATTGTTTGAGCAAGACCTTTTATAAGTGCTCCACTTGGAGCTGAATCCAAGCCAAAGAAAATATTCGTGTTGTCAATGATGTTTAACGATACAGATCCAATACCATTTGAGCATTAGATATTTCACCATCAGCTAATACAAATATTTGTCTAGAATAATTTTTTTTTGGTGGATTAGTCAATATCCATTTTAATGGTTCAAATAATTCTATATCACCAAGATTTGCTCTCATTCTTTCAATATATTGACTGACTTGTTTGCCTTATTCTCATTATATTCAATAACAATCGATTCATTAAACAAAATTTCGTCCGTTGAATCAAATCGTATAATGGTAAATGATGATTCCAATGGAATACTTTTAAGAAAAATAATCATTGCTTGTCGAGCATAATCAATTTTATTTCCACTATCCATTGAACCATTACAGTGAATTACAAATATATATTCAGTATTATTAATTTGTTAAATTATTATTAATGTTGTTAAATTCTCAAGAGAGAGCGAATGAGATAGTGATGAAACATTTCTAATTATATTTTCACCATTAAAATTAATTTATCAATTTTTTCATTAATATTCAATTGTATACAGAATTTTTTCAATACATTTTGATGTTGTAACGACCGTAGAACTTACACTATCAACATCAGAATTATAGCGAGGAGCAATTGTTGTTGGAATAATAAATTGAATATGATCACTATTGATTAATTCTGGTTCTTGAACATAATGAATTTCAATTTCACATAATGTTTTCGGTTGAAAGTTCTTTAAATTCGGTTGAAGAGTTCCTAAATAGAAGGAAAAAGTACAATTGCAGGTAAAATTTGAAGTTCTGGAGAACCGATAAAAAAGCAGGTTCTTTTATGGTCCAACGTAGAAAACATCTTTTTCTTTTAGAAAACAGGAATAAAAAATATGAAAAACTCGGTAAAATTCATTTTTTGTATTTGATCGAAAGAAACGAGATTTTCGCCATACCAACTGAAAATATATTATTTGATTTGATATTTTGTTCTAGTAAATAGGTTCCATATCTTTGTCTAATAGCTTCAGTATATATTTTTGTGCTTGTTTTAATTCTATTAATTCAGCATTGATTCCACCATCGCCTACTCGTGCTATAAACTGGTAAATATATCAGCTCTCTTCAATTGGAAAACAATAAACGGCTTCAACTGGTATTACTTTATCATTATGAAATTTTTGTTTAATAATACATTAGCTGTAAATGATTGAATATGTGATGTAACAAACACATTTTTCAATGGAATAAATTTAGATCGTTTGAAATTATTTTTAACATGTTGATAATAGGACTTTAAGAAAGAAAAAAATAATATGGTATTTTGATACCTTTTAAAGCGTAATTAATTTATCTTGTCTACTGACGAAGATGCAGAGCATCGAAACGTTTAGACGAATATAATTTGTGTGTATAAATTAATTACAAAGTATCAAAGGTCACAAAATGCAGCAAAATCGTACTAATAGCTCATATCAATTTAGCAAGATCTATATACTTGAATTATTTATTAGTATGATTCATCGTTCTTGCATAATGTATGTGCATATTTATTTTGACTCAGTTTACACTCGAAGAAATAAAATTAATTTTTTAGCAATAACTAGCTTATAATTCCAGCTGACTCTAGAAAAAAAATCTGCTTTTTGATTCGGCCCATTGTCGTCATGTTATAGCGATTCTACGATATCTCACTAATGTCTACTCTTGTGGACATCTGGGGGTAAAGGGTTAACGGAGTCAGTGTAGTATAATAATAGAAGATCATTCTAGAAATATCATCGCATCGAAACGCAGATTAATTTTGTTTTCTGGATATATCTTGTCCAAACGAGCAATATTGTCCGATTGTATCAGGAGGCGTAACAATGGACTGTGTGATTACAGACCAGCAGCATGAAATTTATAATAAACCCTTAAGAATTCTCTGATAATCAGTCAGTTTTAGATTTATGAATACTCAACGAGGATTCACGATCGCTCATAAAGATGATTGTCCGATGTAGCTCGGCATCGATTACACTTTCTATTTGGTAACGATATACCCCACGTCGACTGAGAGATGAGCCATCAGTTGGATGCATCTTAAGTTTTTTGGAGCCGCTGTTGATCGATCATTCATATCAACTAAAAATTCTGATTATCTCATCGAAGTATTTGACATTATTACGTACCACTAGGCAGCACAGCGCATCAGAAGTATGCCCTGCAGGTGATTAGGCATGCATCAATTCCAGTTTCAGACTGTAAAATGGAAAACTGATTAGAGTGAAATTGATTATAAGTGAAAAAGGAAAGAAAACGCAGTATGCTTCTGCTATTCACCTTTTCTTGTAACAGTTTTTTTTCTTTTGCTACTCCGCACGAGTAACACAATAAGACGACGACTTTATAAACAAGATTTTTCGTTTTCTTTTCCGCTGATTTTTTTGGACGACAATTGAGTGAGATATGTGCAGATATTTGTTTTGTTCCGGTAACAAAACATCGTTTTTATTTTATCACAGATTCGATTCTCAAGTTTGGTTATGTGATCACCTACCCTAAAAGTACTCTAAAAGATATCCATAACCGGGGAGCTACGATAACCCATCGGGCATTTTTTTCCAATATTGGAAGCACAGAATGGTTCAACGTCGAAAGACCTACTATTACCTAGCTCGATCATCCAGCCCAAAGTGTACTCAGTAAATCCTGTCTTGCGATAAAGCAGGCCTGAAAATATATGCCAGAAATGAAAATAATAACAACTACTATCCATTTCAAAATAGAATGGACTCTCTTGTTTTTTGAATAACTCGGGAACGAAGAAAGCTAAAGACTTGCTGTGTTCAGTTTCTGAAAGAAGACACTTCGAAGAATATTTTAAAGGTAGCAGAAGAATAGCCGTAAAAGTACTTGGTTTTTCACAAGCAGGAATACCGTTTTGTATTTTCCTTTTTTGTACAAAAACAGAATAATTGTCCATTAGTCGATGATGAAGAAATTTATAATCGCATCAAAATAATTATCTGAAGTGTAAACTATTAGATTTTCAATGTAGAAATCATACATGTATACCAACAATAAAGCTATGTAATGACGAGTTCGATTAGCATGCCGAGGAAGATGAATGGTTATTTTACGCAATTGAGCTAATCAGGCTGAAGGCAATTTCACTCAATGCGACACATCATTCTAGCCTTTCAGACAATACAAGGGAAAACAAGGACTCATCCTCTACAGGGTTCCCGTTGACAGAAGCTTTCGTAATGTCTGCATTAGAATTAAAAATAGAGACGACATAAACAGGGGAGAAATATACTAAAAAAAAAGCGTTTATTTGACACAGAAGAATAACAGAAAGGTTTATTGAACGTGTTAGAATCAAGCTTTTTCTATGAAAAAGAATTTATTTGCTGTAATAAACGATTTTCTTCCTAAGTTATGTTATTGTTATTAAAGTTAATCCATCATACATCACACTTTCATTGCCGGCACGCACACATATCCAAAAAAGTCATATGCAGAAATGAAGTGTATTGAAATTCTATTGCGAAAAAGTTGAAATGATAGCAAAAAACCAAAAGCAACAAGAAAGATGTCCTCCAACACCCATACCAGTAAAGGCGGGCCACACACGGTTTGAATGGCTCAAGCTCGTAGCTACACTCGCTATTCCCGTAGCAATTGGCGTCTTTACCATAATGAATAATTTTCAACAGATGAATTTAAGTAAAAGTCAATTTGAAAATCAGTTACGTATTGCTAATGATAATCGTCAAAATGATATACGAGTGGCAGAAGAAGCACGTGTGAACGATCTACGTATTGCCCAAAAAGATCGTGAAAAAGATTTGCAAATGGCAGATAATCAACAAAAGCAAGCAGTACTAATAGAATATCAAAATTTTTTGGCTGAACTGTTGTTAAAAGAAGGCATTCGTCTTAACGGTAGTAACAGTGAAGCAGCTCGTTTTGTTGCACGATTTAAAACATTGACTGGTTTTAGTCAGCTGAATCCGGAGAGAAAAGCTTTTCTGTTTAAATCTCTATACGAAGTGAAACTAATAACGAATAATGATGAATTTGAATCAGCTATTGTTAGCCTCGCATCAGCTGATTTAACAAATATTATCTTAGGATTGCCGCGAGATTCGGATGTCCTCCCTGGGTTCAAGGGTCCCTGTTTTACAAATTTGCATCTATCTGGAGCGGACTTAACAAATGCCTCGTTCCGAGGTGTTCGATTCTCTAATATTACATTTGCCAATGCAGTTCTCGACAACGCTGATTTCGGTTACACTGAAGACGCAGGTAAATTTATCGATTTTCAAGGCTCATCATTGCAATCGGCCAACTTTTTTAATGCGAACTATAAAGTCGCATACTATATCCAATTTCAAGGCGCCAAATTCAACAATGCGCGTTTAATGAACTTCATATGTGTCCGTTGCGGATTTACAAGCACTATTATGCAAGAAGCAAATATGACTAATGCAAGGTTCACATCCTGCCAGTTTATCCTCACAAAAATGCTGAATTGTATTATGGTTGATATATTTATTAAAAATTCAACTTTTGATGAGACAGATCTAACTGGCTGTGATATGCGAGGAGCTATATTTGAATATACAACTTTTTCAGAAAAGACACAGCTAATTGGCGCCGATATGTCTCTTATAGAACTTCGTCACTGCGACTTTAGCAACACAAATCTAAGTGGATGCAATATGACACGTGCTATACTCAACGGAACCTCCTTTCTGAATTCAAATCTGTCCGGATGTGTGGGACTTAATGAATGGCAACTTCGACAAACAAAATCATTAGCCGGTAGCACTTTACCGAATGGAACTCTTGTGCGTGCCAAGTGAAAACTCGTCGAATAAGCTTATGTTATATTACGAAAAACCGTGAGACATTATATTACTAAGAAAAGCTTTTGTAATCTACATGTAGGCAGCATTTTAATCCTTCATTGGAACGCAATTGTTAGAATAAATGAGCGTGAGAATAATTGTGTTTAGACTCATACGATATCACTTGAGTTTTCGAAAAAGATGGAAAAGCTATTACAGATTAGATTTAAAAGCTATCAAATGCTCAGAATGTCAAAGCAACCTTGGATAACACTTAGAATCAAGTACATTATTTATTCCGAATTAGTTTATTGATGCTTACAGTGAATTCTAGTCGTTTTCTCTAAATGAACGGTGTGTCTTTTTTATCTTTTATGTTAAAAGTCGGATACAGATAGATATTTTTTTACCATAAACAGCCTCCTCACAAGGCTGTGAACGACAAGCCACAAGGAAAACAAAAACGTCACTTTCTACTTGTTTTTTCACACCTTTAAGGTCTACTTTTTGGAAGAAGTTTACTTTTTCGTCATCTTTTTACTGGCAAAAATCACATGAATGGTATCCCGTATGACAAATGGAGAAAAGCCCTTATAGATTGATGGTGAGGAGGAAAATTTCAACGTACTTTCACGGCTATAATATGATGGGAACACAATTTAATTAATATATGTCGCCCAGTAGTGTGATATAAAAAAAGTGCAGGCAAAACAATCGGTCTTGAAATCGATTTTTTGTGCAAAATTGGTCATAATATTTCAGTTGGGTTCAAATCAGGACTTTTTTCAGACCACTCGAGGACATTTAGTTCCATTCTGGCATTTTTTTAAGGGCCAAAATTTTGGTTTTTGGAACTTTTCTACAGTTTGTTTCACTTGTAGACATCTGCACGGACACGAAAATTCCCGTGGCCGCGGAAGCGCCCGTGTTGCCCGCGGGCATGGATGGGCAGGGGCAGGTTCGAAAAAGATACGGACGGACATGGACAGGCGCGAACAGACTTGAAAAACACACGGATGGGCAACTGCTTCTCTTGGACGGGTACGGGCTTCTCAAAAAGATATTTTAAACTTTTTGAACAACAAATGGTACGAAGATTTGAACTTCTTGTGAATGAAATATAGACAGTTAGAGACTGCTACAGAAAGGACGACATAATATACACGCGTGGACGAGAAAATTTTTTTCATATACTGACTATTCATATACGAAAACAATTCATGGACGGGCATGGACAAGCAGCGGCAGCGAAAAAAATTCATGGACAAGCATCCTCAGTAGAGTTAAGGGCAAGGGCAAAAAGACCTTGCCCGTGCCGATCTCTCTTCACTTATCTTTGAAAAACATCACAGCAGACCGTACCATTCATATTATCACCGAAAACTCTCGCAGTTGTTCTCCTGAAACGCGATATTTTACCCTACCCCCAAATTTCTACCTTACCTCCATTCCTTATATTTGCTTGCTTAAGAGACTTATATTACGGTTTTTGTTAGAAAAACATATTTAGAAAAATCGGAAACCATTGTAACATTGTAACAACATTGTATAGGATTCAGTGAAAATCGATTTTCTCTCCTAATATTCCATCGACTATCGGGTAGCTTCGTTTTTATGCACATTGAAGGCTGCTCTACCGAATGGCCATTTCAGATTCTTTTTATCTAAAAGCTGAATCTTTTTTGTTTCTTGCGTCCAAAGAGTACAATGACCGGCTATACGTTTCACCCATAGCAACTGCTGGGAGTAAGAAATCATTTACTAGAAATCTTTGAACATCTTTATCGCAGAATTTTTCGAATTCGAATTTCCTTAAAATATTCTGAAATATGTCGCTAGTGTTCGGCAGCTCAATGCAAATGTCACCAGTATACCGCGCACGTTGGGACGCCTAACGTAAAATCCAGAAAATCAGTAGAATAAGAATAGGAATTTATCCGCAAAAACTGGAACTTTTTTAGCAGATATTTCCTAAATTCGAATTTCACTTGATATTACAAATGAATTATGAATACGATAGTGTACGGTGTGCGTTTGCAGGTATCATTAGTCTACTCTGTGGACGGACGAATATTAATTTTCTATGACTCTTGACTTTGGGTTTGGTTGAGATACCTATACCAAGTACTTAGAGATTCCTATACATTTTATCTACCCTGTAATAGGTACTTGAAAAAATGAATAAGATCTTTGAATAAGCTAAGTCCAAATGAGCACAGGAAGACAGATTCAGATTCGGTATCAAAAACTGAGTATGAGCCAACAAAATCGAAAAAGGACAAGCGCTCGAATTTGGAATTTCCGAAACCTTACAAAATTAAATTATCCAGAAAATCAACTATTTTTAATGCATTTTAATGTTTCATGGACTGATAGCTCAGTATCTCTTCTTCAAAATGGAAGTCAAGCCAGACCTTGATTTTTTGCGATTCAGACGTTGATTTGTTTTGAAAAACTCTACTTTCAAAAACACGATGAAATGAGTAAAAACGCAGGACAAATATTTTTCCTACGAGATCTGGCAGGATTTTGTTGATTGAAAGAAAAAGGATTTTGTCTCCCATGTCTATCCTGCGGCATCCTGCAATATTTTCATATCAATGTCTGTCTACTTAATATTTTAACTATAACTTTTAATATTTTTACCGAAATTTTTAAATTATGTACCGTTCAATAGAGTGCTGAAAGTTGAAGAAATTAGAATAGTCTGATATCTCTGCTTTGCTATACATCTTTTTTTTACAGTAGTGGTATCATTCTAATGACTTTAATTTCTTATTGATGGAAGAAAATAGAATAATCCTGACATAAAAAGGACCTTTCCAGCTATCTATTAATAGTTTGGTTTCGTACACATAAAAATACGTATTAAAGTCAAAATATTAAGGTATACATTTTCTAGAAGTTTATTGGACACGAGAAAAGCTTTTATAAACTTTACAAGAAAAAGACGCAAAAGTATTTAACTTTCCAAAAATCAAAATACAGACAAGTTCCTCCACGGTCAGCCTGGACAGACATTGGTGAGAAAAGATTGCAGGATGCCACAGAATAGACATGGGAGACAAAATCCTGCCAGATCTCGTAGGAAAAAACTTGTGGTTTGAATAAGTCAAAAAGTCTTGCGATGTTTCTTATCTTTACACAGGATTTTTTTCCACGCTACGCGAAAAGTCTTCGCGGATTTCCTCGAGGATGGCAAAAAATCTTACACTATCATCTTACAAGATCTTACAAAGTCTTCTAGAATTCGTATCGTATGTTTTTGTAAGATTCTTAGTGCAAGAAACTTATAAGATTTTCGCTTCTACATTATACCAGGAATCTCACAAGATTCTTACTTCACAATCTTATATCTTAAGATCCTAGACGAAGAATTTTATGAAATCGAAAGATCTTAATCTGATTTTTTTACCTGGGTGTATATGAAGCGCGATAAACTTGAAGGAAGGGCTTTGCTTTATTAGAACCAAAAGGAGTTATGTGAATACGACAATTTAGCCCCACCAGAGGCTGAGCTGATAAGCTGTTTTCGATCAAAATTGTGTTTATAATAAGGAGAGGAAAGCGGGGATCTCGTAGCCTCACCAAAGTGTCGCCGAAGCTAGAGACAGCTATAAATGAAGGTGAATATGGTCGTTGACCACGTATTTGCACCGAGTGTTTTTTTCATTTTGAATTATATCTGAAGCGATGCAGTGTCTCGAGAACTATCAAAAAAAAGAAAATTGGTGTGACGAACTGTTTCTGGATACGGCTCACTTCTTCTACTCACTTTCAAAGTTGTACAGTTAGTTTGTAACACGTTGTGTTAAGGAATAAACTTGATAAGGAACAATTCCCGCCACAAACACGTAAACAAAAAGATCGTCGTTAGTTGAGTTATGTGCGAGCAATATCTCTCTGTAAAAGAGTTTTCTTCTGGATCATAATTTTTCTGTATAAATACTTATTAAAGGCTTTCAGTTTGCGCATTTCAGTAAGTTTTTCTGGTTTTTGTGGTTAATCTACTGGCAGTAAGGCTTTCAGAACCACTTATAGAATCGCGCGCTGAATGTGCATAATATGTGAACCTCTTGTTAAGTATTTCCTTTAATAGCAGACTCAGTTGCTAACAGAAAGGTGCAATTTTTTATTGATTATTATACTTTAAGAGAAAAATAATGGGAAAGATACTGTGTAATCCCAAAACCAACAGTAAAACGGTCTGGATCAAGCACTTAAATTCATATCACTCAGTTGATTTAGAATTTCAAATCTCTGGAAGCTTAATTTTGGCTTCAGATCTTAGTTCTTGTATTGCCGACGCCAATTCATCCTTGATTTTATGCTTAAAACATATATTCTGACGCTACTAGCGTCTGTTTGAACTGTTTTCTTACATAATACTTTATACTTTGAAGATTATTCAAATTAAGAGCAAACCCTATTGAAAATTAAATCTCATCTCAAAATCTAAGCGACGATCCATCGGTTTTCCTTCCATTTCCGTTTTAATGATACATTTATCTTTTTGTCAATAAGCAAATTCGTCATTCTTCTTCTTTTCTGACTTCGTCTAACACCACAAACTTTTGATAAGTTACCATTTGTTAGTTTATTTCCATAATAATTGACTAATGAATTTGAATTAGAAGATTCTGTGTAGTTCGACACTTCAGATTCGAGAGACACTACGAAATTTTTGAAGTTTGTTACTTTATGCTAAAAAACTCTATGTTTTACTTTCGAAAACTTGTCTCTGTTTCATTCAGTACTTGCTAAACTTTTGAAACAGTCTGCTGTGTAGAATCATTTTTCTCTACAAAATGAGATGTTTCCCAACTCTTCACCATATTTCTGATAGGGCTATGACCGTTAGGGACGTTATACCACGAATGTCACTTTTTCAAAAGCTTCTAGCAAAATGATCATAACTCTATTAGAAACTTTTAATTTTCTCTGACAGTGCACATTAGAATTCGACAATATATACACCACTAGATTGAACAAGTCTTTCTCCACAAGCTCATACAAATCCCGTTCTGTAGTTAAAACCTTATAGTCGCTTTTTGGTTCTCTCATTAGTTAAGAAAAATCGCCAATAAGAGAACCAAAATTTAGGAAAAATCACATCGATTGTGTCGACGTCAGAGAAGAAGTCGAGATATAGAATTATAAGGAACCTGTTGTTGGATCCACCGAGAAATTCTACATACACCACCTTATTTTCATCAAATCTGGCGCAGCATGGCAAAGGCACCTAATTCTGTAATGTTATAGATACTTCTGTACATTATTCTTATCCAGCATGTCCAAAACAGAACCTGTCACATGTTTATAAGCAGAATAAAAAAGCAGAAGATATGCAAGAACTCCATTGACCCACAAATGTTTAGCTGAAGGATAAAGGAATTGGGAAAAGCTGTTTTAACAGAAAATTTAAAGATATATGTAGACAGCAAGTAGAAACTGAGAATTAATAAAAAATTAAAACCATCTCTTAGAAAAAGAGAAGGTTTAATTACTCAAGATAATCACTTGCAGAACTGCTCAATTACTACAGATCATGCTTTGGTTCGCGTATGTGGCTATACAAAAGACAACTTTGGCTTAGGTGGCACTGACATACAGTGTTTCATAATCTTAAACTATTTTCACTATAAATACAAGGTTTAAATAGACAACTAACAGATTAAGCATCATCAAATTTTAAAAAAATGGATAAAAGATATACCTTTTCAAAAAGAGTGGACCGTTTTCTATTAGCCTGTGTGTCGCAGAGATTTCTCATGAAAATCTCTCAGCATTCCTTCACAGTTTTTCTTCTTGTCAAATTTTGTTTCATTACGTTTTCTTCTGATAGATGTTCAGAACCGCCCATTAACATACTAATCGTCTTTTTGTTTTGACGGCAGACAAAAATTTGAAATTCTCAAGATGTAGGACTAATATTAGTTTCGACTTCTTGTCGAATAACTCAAAAGCCTTTGAACATCATATCTTTTCAACAACCAATATTCGTAGTATTCCTCGTCTCTTAGCACTTTTTCGTTATGTTACATGTCTCCAAATTCTAAACTTCTCGCCAAGCTCTTCTCTTCGTCTACTGTAAGCGAATATTTGTGACAAAACAAAAACTAAATTCCTAGTGCGACAGTCATTGACTCCATAATTTGTTCTTTGTTGGCGTTAATCGAAGTAAATTTTTTTACTTGTTTTGCTTTTGTTACTTCAATAATAATCCAAGCGTATCGTGAGTATAAGAAACGTTACTTTCTCATTGCGTTCTTCTATTTCAAATTAAGAGACAACTCAAATGTCTTGTTATTATTATTATTATTTAGCTGGTTTATGTTTAATTGCCATTTTTTCTGCTGGATTCATTTATGGTCGAGGTATCGATTTAGTCGTGATTTATTTTCATAAGCGTCTCTTATCATTGAGAAAAGCCTATCGTCCTCGTCGTATCATTCTCATACGTCACGGTGAATCACAAGGCAATGTTGACCACCAAGTTTATGCCACAGTACCCGACAGTCAATTGGAATTGACGGCCAAAGGCCGCGCACAAGCCGTGGACGCTGGCAAACGGTTGAAAAAAATCATCGGCGATGAATCATTGTATGTTTATTTGAGTCCATACCGTCGATCTAAGGAAACATTTGAAGGTATTCAGGAGTCAATTAATAAACAAATTATTAACATTCGTGAAGATCCCCGGATACGTGAACAGGAATGGGGTAATTTTATGGATCCGGAGAAGCGTCAACATGAATTAGAAGAACGAGAGAAGGTGGGAAGCTTTTTTTACAGGTTTAGAAATGGTGAATCAGGTGCTGATGTATATGATCGATGTACACTGTTTTTGGATACAATTCATCGTCAGTTGAGTAGTGGTTATTATGCTTCAACTGGAAATATTTTGATTGTCAGTCATGACATATTTATACGATTGTTTTTGATGCGTTATTTTCGATGGACCACCGAGAGACATCATCAAACCAGGGATTTGCGAAATTGTGAATTGTGTGTGTTGGAAGTGGATCGAGTCTCGGGATCGTATGTATTAAAAACAGAATTGAGCGAAAAAAGACCGTCGATTATTAACTATAATCAATTAGTTCTGGACGTTAACCTGAAAGAGTAGTGTTCAAATATGAAGCTGAATAAACACGTACATTTTCATTTACAAAACATTTCAATCTAATTAGTGTAAACTAACAATATTTTTAACAACATTTTCAAATGAAGATAGATAGGAATAGAGGGTAGTTTTCAATTATTAAATAAGATAAAACAGGATTAAAAGGAAAGTAGAACTTACAAGGGCACTGCTCCAAATTACAAATCATTTTTGACCTGAACTATAGCTGAGTATAGGTTATTAATGGGGCATACTCCGAATACAATACCAATTTGTGGGTTGGGTCTCTGTAGTGATGGGCCGTAAGACGTAAGAAGCGTCATTTTTATCGTTTCTGTTCTTTCGTCCGTCGTGACCTATAGATGTACAATATAGATCACGGATGACGGTAGAAGTAAAGAAAAGAGAAAAGATAACGTAGGACGGTAAGGAATCTTTTTTCTTACCGTACGAAACGAAGGAGTTACGTTTATTATGCGAAATTCTTAACGTAAGTGAAGATGAAATAACGTCAAAGTATATATAATACATTTATGTACAGGCTATACATAAATACACTAGACAGTATAGACTAAAAAATCATACTATACAGTATACAGTATAGTATGGCAGAGCGAAACAATAATACACGAAAGTCCAGGATCCACGCACACACACAGAGAAACAAAAAAGTCTGTTTAGCGAGAAGTGAAATAACAACGAGAGAGAGAACAAAAGGACACGTTATTCTTCATGTATAAATCTTTTTGTTGTACAAATATAGTCTATTACTGCACGATATATACATGAAAAATCTTGTTTCGAAAGACATACATTTAGTAAAAGGAGATCAAGACTAAGGGTAGGAGCGTTTTTTGTTGTTGAGATTTCCTTTATAAGAATTTTTCTTTGACCGTGGAATAACACCCACTCCAGTAGATAATACTCAACTGTCTCTGTCTTATCACATGCACACAAACCTGTTGTTGACAATGATTTTTTGTCTAAGGTTTTAGAGCAGAAAAACTCACATAAATTCTTAATGCCACGCACGGAATAAACGACTGTAGCGATACCATAATTTTCATTCTTTTCTTTCCTTTCACTATCTATCAATCAATACTAACGTCTAACGACGGCCCATCACTAGGCCTCTGGCAATCGGCTTGCTGCTGCAAATGCCAACCGCAATTCAAAATGAAACAGTTTTTGAATCAGCCAAATTACAGAGCATATGAAACTGACTAGTCTCCATAAATTTCAGACATCCCGAACATAACTCAACAGATTTATAAAATTTTCGAGATTCCATAAGCCGATTGAATGTTAGAAATCAAGACTACTTAACCAGAATCTTAACTGGTGAATGAACTAGGAAACAAAGTTTCGGCTTTATTCAAAAGACATCATCAGTCAAATGACGACAAAAAGTTTTTCCTCGCATTTTAAGCACAGAAAAAGAAAAAGAGACACATTTAAAGAACACAGACATGTAACTTACGAGGGAACGTTTTTAAGTGCCTCCTCGCTTTTTCAACAAAACCTGGTGGGTTATAGGTTATCGATGATGCTGATTCCTGAATATGAAAACTGCTCTTAGGGCTTCAAAGACCCTTCTTTCTGGAAAACCAGTTATTCAGAAACTCTAAAAAGCAACCTAAGCTTTTCTTAATGAGCCATGCTTGTAGCCCGCACATTTCTGATTAAAATGAGACATCTCCCAACTCTACATGACCTTTTTGGCTTGCGAGGGCTTTTCTTGTAAATTCTATAACTTTGCAAAGAAAGGTCATGTAGAGTTGGGAAATGTCTCAGTTTAATCAGAAATGTGCGGGCTACAAGCATGGTTCATTAAGAAAATATATATTTGCGGATTCTGGTATAGTTTCGTGTATTCTCACTTAGAAGACACTTGCTGGGCTTGGTGTATTCTCAGTGAGAATACACGAGAATACACCACGCCCAGAAAGTTTGAAAACAATAGTCTCTTTTTGAGAATACACTGCATACTGATATTCTGACACCCCTCATCACCCAAGGCCAACTGGCCGAAATCGGGGCTATCGGAAAAATGCTTATAGCTTCTGAATCGTAAGAGATAGAGCGTTAAGACTGGTCTAGAATTGTAGATCTTGGTTCAGGCTATCAGTTGCACGGTGGTGCTGATAATAGTTACGAAAGAAAAGGTGATGAGAGGAAAGCACCAGACTATTACCGGAAGGTATGCAGACATACAAAGATCGTTAATCGAAGATTCGTTTAGAAAAACAGAAAGTCAAGGTGAAGAAACAACAACAGGAGAAATATCAAAGAATTACTTGTCTTTAGATAATATAATAAATTATTAGAACGTCAACGAACGTACCTTCCATTAGTTCATCCGGTAGACTTGCCAGAACCATACAAACATATTGCTAATAAGCAGTTTTATAAAGATGAATACGATTTAGCTATAATGAATTATTAAAAAGCCTTAGCATTATATCTCAAATATTTACCACATCCACATCAAATGACTGAATCTACTTATAAAACTCTTGCTTTGTTAGAACAACATAAAGCATTACGACTTTTTTGGCGCCCATAATAGAAAACCAGTTGTCTTCTATTCTGGGGAGGGGTTAGAAGACCATCGTCTTCTATTTGGCTTTCAAGTCATATACTCAGCGGTGGTCTGCTAATAGTGGATGGTCCTCTATTATGGGGAAGAGGAAGGGTTATACCAGGCATCTTCTGCGGTACCTGTAAGTGATTTAATCAGAGGAGAGGACAAACAAAGTATAAGCGATAGTATGTCTCAGATGGTATTATGAGTAAAAAGTGATGTCAGCTTAATACATTCTGAACTTAAAGTTAGTCGGCGCTAATTTATTTTTATCACATTCTTGCATTTAAAACATGCCGCTTTATTTTGCTTGTCTCAATTCCGTCGATTTTACCATCTTATTTTCCAACACAAGGGAAGTCACTGACTGGCTTTTATATACAGTGTGTGTAAGAAATACAGAATGATTCAACACTCTTCTTTCACACGCTATACAGAGCAGTCACATTTTTTATTATCTATTCTGTTTTCTACTTGCATATAGTACATATTTACATGTAACACGTGTATGTACAAGTGTGTAATACTTTCACTTAAAAGTCTTCTTTGACTACGAAGAATAATCAACAACAAAGAACGAAAATATCATCGAGCGAATGAGTACTGATCGGGGTGCCTATGTGGTGGAGGATGGTGGTGGAGAGTGGACAGTAGCAACAGCACATCGCAAGAAATTTAGAAATGATGACAAGTTTGATCCCGAGCAAAAACATTTTTTTGGGATCTAGCTTGAAGCTAGATTTTTGAGACATTTAGCTAGCTCCAAGGAGCTTCCAGTCTAGCTCCTGGAGCTAGATTGGAACGTTTATCTAACTCTAATCTAGCTCCTACCCGGCTGGAGCTAGCTAAATGTTCTAAAAATCTAGCTTCAAACAAGATCCCAAAAAAATCTTTTTGCTTGGGATGATGGGTGGGATAATGAGCTTGTAAATGGCAATTATGAGAGTTCAAATTAAAATAGTTACCACCCAACACATACAATTAATAATGCATCAAACAGATATGGTAATTATCAGGAAGATCAACAACGTAATAGTCGTTCTTATATTAATAATAATCGTACATATTCACAGCACGAAACGATGAAGACAAATAGTAATTTTGTATGATTATAGAGACAATAGTGTTTTTCTAGAATACTTTCTTTGCGACTGCTATTAGAGATCCGACAGAGCCTCGGACTGAGACCTTTCACAAAGACCTGACTTTCAAAATAAACTGAAGTATTATAAATTCCGCATGGAAATTAAAAACCACTTGTCACCTCTTGCCAACATATTTCCCTGTCTGTTGAATCGGAGAACTGATGCGCTATTTTGTCGACTAAGAGTTAATTTTTTTGCAGTAAACGATCATCTAAAGCAGCATAAACTTGTTTTCAAAAGTCTTTGTGAAACTGCTTAGTTTTATCACCCTCCGTTGAAGATATATTGAACTACAAATTAAAACACAACTTAAATTGATTAGAAATAATAACCAAATAATAAATCATTATCGCCAATGGTATCTCAAACATTAGTCGTTAAACAAGTAGTAAATAGAGTAAAAATGGATAACAAAGATGAAGGGCAACAGAATTTAAGTATATTATCCCAACACACTGAGCAGCACTGTACATCAACCGAAAATCTTCAAACAGCATCTGTAAATTATCGACAACAAATTTTAGGAATGATAGATAATCAAACACTGCGATGTTGGAAGGTATGAGATCAATATCATCACTTAATGAATAGTAGTGTGTTCCGTTTCTCATCGCCATTAGTGAATACTAGTCTTATCGAACCATACTCAGAAAGTAACAATGATAGAAACCTATTTTTTTATATTTTCTGTGAATGGAATGGTAGAGGAAGCTTATCTGAACCGTGTGACACATGGAAAAAGATAAGCCTGTAGATGTCTGTGAAAATCTTCTGATTTTATTGTATACTGCTGAAGGTTTAAATAGTCATGGTGCCGATTTGGATGTTCTTCTGTCTACCCATGTAAATATTTTTCGATCGTAGACGCGTCTGAAAACGCGTTTTATGCTGCGTTTAATCGCTCCGAAAATGCACCATTTGCTAGCGTTTAAACGCGTTTTTCCCAGGCGCGTTTAAACGCGTTT